GTCATTCAAAATAATTGAAAGGGAGGGAATCTTCTCAAATTCTTTCTACGAAGCCAGAATTGCCTTAATTCCTAAACTCGAAAAAGATGCAACAGAGAAAGAGAACCATGGACCAATTTCCCTGATGAATATAGACACAAAAAACTTGACAAAATTCTGACCAATCAAATCCAACAGCACATCAGAAAGATCGTTCACTAGGACCAAGTGGGATTTATCCTTAGTATGCAAAGTTGGTTCAACATTTGCAAATCAATTAATGTGATACATCACATTAACAAACTGGAGAACAAAAACCATATGACTACCTCAATAGATGCAGAGAAAGCATTTGATAAAAATACAAGACCTTTTCATGAGGAAAACTCTAAGCAACCTGGGTATAGAAGGAACATTCCTCAACACAATCAAGGCACTTTATGACAAATCCATAGCCAGCATCCTATTGAACGGGAAAAAGTTGTAAGCATTCCTCCTGAAAACTAGAACCAAACAGTATGTTCACTCTTGCCATTGCTATTCAATATATTCCTGGAAGTTTTAGCCACAGCCATTAGGCAAGAAAATGAAATCAAAGAGATTTATTTGGGAATGAGGAAGGAAAACTATCCCTATTTGCAGATAACATGATTCTATATAGGGGATCCAAAATATTCCACCAAGAGACTATTGGAATTCATAGAAGAGTTTGGCAAAGTAGCAGGATATAAAATCAATACAAAAAAATCAATAGCCTTTATATACAAAAACAATGCCATGACTAAAAAAGAACTTCTAAGATTGATCCTATTCACAATAGTTACAAAAAAATAAAATACCCTGGAATAAATTTAACCAAGGATGTCAAACCTCTCTATGATGAGAATTACAAACATTAAAGAAATAAATAGAAGAAGATACAAAAAATGGAAAAATCTTCAATGTTCACGGATTGGAAGAATCAAAATCAACAAAATGTCCATTCTTCCTAAAGCAATTTACAGATTGTGATACCAAACAAAATACCAAAGACATTCTTCTCAGATCTAGAAAAAATAATGCTGAAATTCATATGGAAACACAGGTGATCTTGAATAGATAAAGCCATCTTATACAACAAAAACAAAGCTGAAGGCATCACATTATCATATTTCAAGACAAACTACAAGGCAGTTATTATTAAAACGTACGGGTACTGGTAGAAAACCAGATGGATAGACCAATGGAACAGAATAGAAATGGCAGAAATCAATTCAAGTATCTACAACCAATTTATATTTGACCAAGGAGCTAAAACAAATCCCTGTAGCAAGGACAGTCTCCTCAACAAATGGTGCCAAGAAACTGGACTTCCACATAAAGAAGTATGAAGCAGGACCCCTACCTTACTCCTTACATGAAAATCCATTCAAAATGGACTAAAGACCTAAATCCAAGATCCAATACCATGAAATCACTAGAGAACATTGGGGAACCCTGCAAGACATTTGCACAGGCAAAGAGTTCTTGGAAAAGACCACAGAGGCAAAGACAATCAAAGCCAAAATAAACAAATGGGATTATATCAAGTTGAGAAGCTTCTGTACTGCAAGAGACACTCAGCAAAGTGAAGAGGCAAGCAACAGAATGGGAGAAGTTATTTGCAAACAATGCAACTGATAAAGGATTAATAACAGGAATATATAAAGAGATCAAGAAACTCCACAACAAAACAAACAACCCAGTTAAGAAATGGGCCAAGGACTTAAATAGACATTTTTCAAATGAGGAAATCCAAATGGCCAACAGACACATGGGAAAATGTTCAGGATCATTAGCCATCAGGGAAATGCAAATCAAAACCACAATGAAGTTTCACCTCACCCGGGTTAGAATGGCTTTCCTACAGAAATTAACAAACAACAAATGCTGGTGAGGATATGGGGGAAATGGTACCCTAATCCACTGTTGTTGGGAATGTAAACTGGTAAAACCACTATGGAAATCAGTTTGGAGATCCTTACAGATCTGAATATAGACCTACCATATGACCCAGCAATCCCACTCCTGAAAGTTTATTCAAGGGAAATGAAATCAGTAAATAGCAGAGTTATCTGCACTCTCATGATTATTGCAGCTCAATTCACAATATCTAAGACATGGAATCAACCTAAATGCCTGTCAATTGAAGACTGGATAAAAAAATTATGGGATATATACTCTATGGGATACTACACAGCAGCAAAAAAAAAAAAAAAAAAAGAAAAAGAAAAAGAAAGAAATCCAGTCATTTGCAACAATATTTGGCAACATTTGGAAAACATAAGATTTAGTGAAATGAGCCAGTCCCAAAAGGACAAATATCACATATTCTCCCTGAGAACTAACTTATCATTCAAACAAGGATGATAATTAATAATGGAATTATCCCAGACACTGATCACTCTTATCCCCCAAACCATACCTTTTCTTATACCTTACAATGTATTTAGTGCTTTGAATCTGGAAAGCTGTAAAATGTAAACTGCCCTTAAGGATTTATAAAATTGCCTTAGAAAATATGGCCATTAATTCTAGAAACTACTGCTCTGCCTATTGTATCATTAATAATAGAGTTTAAAAACAAATAAGCTTGTTTTGAGATTTTAGACAAAAATCACAAGAACTCAAAGACTTGACTAGAGTAATCCCAATGAACAGACTGAGAAAATATAATTTATGCAAAGGCCTGAATGTGAAGGTAAACACTTTTTAGGCCTCATATTTTAATAGTAGCTAAACGATAATGTTTTGATTTATATCATTTTATGTTTTTTAAACATACTGCTATCAGTATTATGGAAAAAAGATGAATTTTTTACTCATAGTTTGGCATCTTGGAGCCAGCATTGTAGAGTAGCTGGCAAACCTGCAGCCTGTGAGGCCAGCATCCCATTTGGGTGCTGGTTCAAGTCCTGGCTGCTCCACTTCTGATCCAGTTCCTTGCTGGTGGGCTGGGAAAAGCAGTGGAAGATGACCAAGTGCTTGGGCCCCTGCACCCATGTGGGAGAGCCAGAGGAAGCTCCTAGCTCTGGGCTTCAGCCTGGCTTCAGCTGAGCTTCAGCCTGGCTGTTGCAGTCATTTGGAGAGTGAATCAGTGGATGGAAGATCTCCCTCTGTGTGTTTTTACCCCTCTCTCTAACTCTGTCTTTCAAATAAATAAATCTTTTTTTAAAAGGCAATAATTTAGCATTTCTGCTTATACTTTATAAGCATTTTTATCCTATCAAATCTTCAATTTTCCCAAAGTTTCATACAAGCAATAGTACATTATTATAAACCAAGAAGAAACATTTTATTACAGTGATCACTAATTACAGTGTGGACTCTCCCAGTTTGTTAAATTACTAAAATTCAGCTATGATTTTTATTTAATACAGTCCTATATAAATCAACATAACTTGGACATTTATAATTTTAAAAATCTTGCAAAGTTATTTTTGTTTTATCTCTTAAATTGATGGTCAATTCATTTTAAATTTATATGGATGAACTTTTAGTAAAAAGCTGAATGAATTAACTTAAAATGTTCAATAAAGTTGAATTTTTATTAACTGAAAATTACTATGCGTCTATCTCTCATCCATAAGCATGATTACAAGTTAATGAAATTTCTATTCTATTTCCTCAGCATACATAAAGGCTTGTGGATCACTCTGCTGAAATATAGCCAATACATAGTCATTAGAGATTAATAAGATGTGTTCTTTTGCTGATAAAACTGTGTACCCTATAATGTCATTTAATAAACTTACCTGCCTTATTATCACACAGTAATTTACTTCAACTGTTTAATTTAAATATTTAAATAATAGCATTTAAAGGAAGCATAGATTTGCACTTAATGTTGCATTAAATATCAATGTAAATTACAATTTTTAAAAATCTTAAGCAACATCTTGCTTCTAAAGAAGCATCTTGCAAAAAAAATTCAAAAACCTAATTAAGTCTAATTCTGACCTTTTATTCTGTGGTTCTGTTTTGATCTGCTCTTTTATTAACAACCAGAAAAGTAGGCACAAATGATGGTGGTATGGGGAGAGTAAAGAAACCATTGTAGGCAGATTCCAAAACTTCAGTGAATTAGGCATAATATTCAGGAGATGACAATGCGAGTGCTCTGACAGACACTCAGAGAAAGGAAATGAGCTAAGGCAGCTTCCTCAGCCTGACACTGCTAAACATTCAGTAGGAGCAGCAGAAGCGGGTAGAAGACCCTCAGAGGACCTAGGATGGTGCCAAAGTCCTGGAAAACCCTTGAACTCAGCAGAGAACAAATATGTAGAAGAGAGAAGGAAAAGTGTAAATGGCTTTCATTAATACTCTGAGCAAGAGTTAGAAATGTAAACACCCATGGAAAGAGAGCCTCCAAACCTCCTGGAGACTCTCCAGCCCATGGACAGCACCCTCGTGGCTATGCTGTTCTGCCCTCAGGAATCGTTTTCTGTGTTGAAATGGGATTTCCACTTCTCCATATCACAAGTGTAGAAATGGTTTCCTTATCACCTGTATGAATTGTTAGACTATTCTAGAAAGTAATACTTAACTTCCGCTGGTTCACGCCCCAAATCGTTGCAACAGCAGGAGCTTGGCCAATCCGAAGCCAGAAGCCAGAAGCTTCTTCTGGGTCTCCCATGTGGATGCAGGGGCCCTAGCACTTGGCCCATCTTCTTCTGCTTTCCCAGGCCTTATTAGGGAGATAGATTGGAAGTGGAGCAGCCAGGACTTGAACTGGTGTTTATATGGGATGCCAGCACTGCAGGGGCAGCTTTACCCTCTATGCCACAGTGCTGGCCTCAGGAAACAGTTTTTTAAATGATGCTTATGTCACTATTCAAACTGATAAACTTAGCTACAGAATATTTAGAAGACTGGCAGATCATTTCCTGATAAATTGCCTTTCAACTTTTGTATACTAATATATCCATAGAAACACTTCATGAATACATACATAAAATCTTTACACAAACATTTAAAAATGAGAGTTTGTTTTTACACACACGTAAGTTTAACTAGGAAACAGTCATTTTTATTATTTTTCTTTCAACTAGGAAATATTCATTTTTATCATTTTTCTTTTAGACAGTTTACAAAAACCTCACAATTTCTATAATTCACAGACATGTGGGCAATCATATTTTCTGTAAATCACAGAATAATTGCACTATTTTGCATGTATGATATTTAAGGCTCAAATAAAAATTTTCACTGACTAGCTCAAAACTGCACACTACAACCTAGAATCTGTTCAGATAGCATGAGAATTTTAACTATGTTCACTTAATATTTTCATGAAGCTACAGCTTTGGTAATTAAATACAAGTTTTAATCAATCATTTTAAAATAATAATCTTTTAGAGATTTTCAGAGATAAGTGATAAATCTTCAGACATGAAATACTCACTGTACTCAAAAATGCTAATAATGGTTTCAAGGTCTCCAGGACATTTTTATTTAGTTTCAAAAATACTTGCTGTGGTTTGCCTACCTCTAGAATTTTTTTTAACAATCTCAGATGTGATAGGTATGATCTTGAATGGCTTTGACTATCAGTTATGTCACTAGGACTGTTTTGTCCAAACCGTGAAGCAGGAGAAATTCCCCTTTGTATCTTCCTATTCTTTGACTCCTTTTCCCAACCTCCTATTTACCCTTCCCCTTAAAATTTCTACCCTACCACCCTATATTGCCACTTCTCTCATTCTTTTTCATGTATTAAAGTTTTATATACTTATTTTTTAAATTGAGTTATGCTTCAGTGCCTGAACCTTTTGAAAGAATTTATGCATTAAAGATAATTCTTAAAAGTAGAAAAAAATATCAAAAATGTTATTTATTTTTGGTCCATCTTCTACATTTGCTCATAAGGTTAGGCCTGGGATGGTGGCAAGAATTCTACTTAGAATGAGACATAAATTTGAAAAGAGGAAAGGAAGTGATATTGCTGTCTTATTTGTCTTTCTCTTGGGTATTCATTTATTTACTGCCAAGTACTCTTCTAAACTATTTTGATATAGCAGATTCCAGAATGGGGGAGGGAGAACTAACCTAGACCCACGTATATTCACAATTTAGGAGTTGGTAAGAGACATCTTGCATTCTGTGTTTGTTGGTAACCTCCTCAACATTGAGGCTCCCTTTCCCACTGAATTGTAAGCAATGTACCTTGACTACAGCTATTTCATCCCTTCTGGGCCTGGTACGTGCCTTGTGATGGACAAATACCCAAATCCATTTGCGATTCTGGAGAAGCAAGCCCGTTACCAGACAACAGGAAGAATGTATGAATTACCAGGAGTTACTGGCAGCCCTCTGGAAGCCCAAGAAGAAAGTCTGTGAGAGTTATGCCTACATCAGGCAAGTGAGCTCTGCACTAAGGAAGGGGACCCAGACACTAGCTCATGTCCACACTTAATTCCAGACACAGTTAAGCCCTAGTTAATGATCTCCCCTAGATCATTCTGGTACATGATTCAGTACATTTTCTTTTACATACAAGCTAATTATTACAGTCAGATTTTCTGAAGCATTTCTGTTCATAACATTCTCTAAATGATGCAACACTTTTCCTGTCAAATGGAAGAGGTGTGATGAGTTGGTATCCATGGGAGATGCTGGGTGGTGGGAGGAAGTTGTATGAAGGTCCATGCATTTAACAGTCATCTTGAATTTTCTCAAGCAAAGGGAAAAGCTTAGACTCTAATCTTCGGTCTGCGAGAAAAGGTTGGGTAGTTGACATAAATATCTTCTTTTGCACTGTCCAGTGGCTGACTGGTAGAAGTATGACTTCTATAGTTCTTGGCTGCCTAGAAAGACAAACAGCAGAAGGTATGGATAATTCACTGCAATTCAAAAACTAGTAAATATATATAAAATGTAAGTCTCTCCTCAATTCAACCACACTACAGGAAAAACATCCATTAGAAGTAATTTTGTGAAACATTTTTTTCATGATATAGAACTTCTGTCAAAACTCATATTCTCAATTTGCAAGAGTATGAAAGAGAAGCAACAGAAATCTAATCTACGCTGTGTCTTGATCTACTGTGTTATGTGTTACCTGATTTGATGTAGAAATCCCTTTCCCAGTGTTGAGCTATTGAAATGCCAACAATTATTTTTATTTCCATATGTAAAGTATATTATATTTTCTCACAGTGAATATCCATTAAATACTGTTATGAATGTTTTAATAAAGGTTTTTAAAATGCATGGTGCCCAAGCCTTAAAAAAAAACAAACTAAAAGCAATTTAAAAAGAAACTGGCATTCTCTTTTCAAGATGATGTTATGCAATCATTAATCTTCTCTCCCCTGATGAAGTCACTTTGACCATCTATATGTATTTATGTGACAGAAAATAAGCAAGTGTAAGAAAAAAGAGAGAAGAGGGTAAGAAGGACTTTTGGTGAGTAGTTTGGAAATTTGGTGTTCTCAAGGAGAAAGTAAAAGGAAAATTCAAGTTTCATTGTTCCTTATATAACCTGTGTGAAAAACACAGAAGAATGAAGTAGGTTCAACTTACTTTCTCTTTCACATTCCGAATTACTCTCTATTTGTTATCATCCTTCAAAAAATCATTATTCTACAAAGGCCTGGAAAAGTTGGATAGCTAATGTAGACAGCTGCAAAATGTCTTTCCTCCCTCAAGTTTCAAAACAATAAACGTGGCTTGAATGCACGAGCGGCTAAGGACAAAAAGGAATAAAAAATACAAGCAATAGAACACTGCTTTATTGCACACTGAGGTGGCAGATGAATAAAGGCAACTTTTTGATTCTGCAGCTGATGCCAAGAACCAAGCCATGAGTTAGGGAAAAAAAACCATTTTGCAAAAAATAACTACTTAATAAAAGAAAAAAGTTAAAATGATAAATTATTAAGAAATCTGAAGCACACACATTACATTTTCAGATTTTTTCCTCAAATTTTAGTGCTTGATTTTTGATCATGTAGAATTCAAGTGCAAGAAATGAAGTGGAAGAGAATTTGGTGCAGTTTTGGATAGAACTTGAGGAAATATTTGTCTTGGTCAGTTTGAGCTGCTATAAAAAAAAAAAAAAAAACAAAGACTGGGTGGCTTAAACAGCAAACATGTATTTCTCACAGTTCCAGAGGCTGGCAAATCCAGGATCAAATGTCTGCTGATGGCACACTTCTGGGTTTGCACAGGACCATCTTTCCGTATCCTAACACAGCCCAGAGCAGACAGAAGCAACTCTTAGTCTCTTCAAAAAAGGGCACGAATCCGGTTCTTGAGGGCTCCATCCCCATGACATAATCCCCTCTCAAAGACCTCACCTTCTATGGGGAGGGGAGAAGCAGGTAGAGGCACAACCACTGCATCTATAGAAATACTTTGTAAAATCTTATAAACAGAATGTGTTAAGGAGAGATTACCATCCCTACAGTAGAGACAACGAAAATGGGCATCTCTCTTATCTGCAAATTCAGAAGGAAGCATCTACTCTTTTAACTAATCAGTAAGTAAACAATAAAGTAAGGAGGAAATTTTTATTGTTCATCAACTCCTGCAGCCCACTGAGAACGGTCTTTGACTTTTTAATCTAATTCAAACAACCATTAATTAATAACTTAATTCAAAGGTAATGATGATGATGAACGCCATGCATTGTGTCCCTCTATTTCTTTAGTGTACTTCTGAGTCTTTTATATAGCTCAATTTAATCCTCAAAACAATGGCATGATACATAAATAACTATGCTTTGTACTGGGTTCAATAGAGCCTTCCAAAACTCTTGTCCTTCCCAGAACCTCATTATGTGCATTTATTTGGAAATAAATCCCTTCAGTTAAAATCAGTTAAGATGAAGTTGTGCTGGAATAGGGTGAGTTCCTGTCCCATATAACTAGCATCTTTGTAAGAAAGGAAGAAACACAAATACACACTAGGGAGATGCTATGAGGACAAGCAGAGATTGGAACCATGTGTCTATAAACCAAGGACCACCCAGGATTGCAGGGTGCCACCAGCAGCAGGACAGAAACATGGTGCAGGAAACAACCCTCCAGAACCGTGAGAAAATGGATTTATGCTGTTTTTTTTTTCTTTTTGACAGGCAGTTAGACAGTGACAGAGAGAGACAGAGAGAAAGGTCTTCCTTCCATTGGTTCACCCCCCAAATGGCCGCTACTGCCAGTGCACTGCGCCAATCTGAAGCCAGGAGCCAGATGTTTCCTCCTGGTCTCCCATGTGGGTGCAGGGCCCAAACACTTGGGCCATCCTCCACTGCACTCCCAGGCCACAGCAGACAGCTGGACTGGAAGAGGAGCAACCAGGACAGAATCTGACACCCCAACTGGTACTAGAACCCAGGGTGCCGGTGCTGCAGGCGGTGGATTAGCCTTACAAGCCGTGGCGCTGGCCCAGATTTATGCTGTTTTAAGCCACCTGTCACACATCCCTAGGAAACTCACACAGATTTCAGTAACACATAGTATTGACTGTTATTATGTCAGTATAATTGCTCCTTATGTACATTAACATAAAAAGATAGTTTCAAAGGTATCAATAATAGGAAAATAATTAAGAAAAATAACTGTTTACTCAAGTAGTTGACAATTGAATAACTGGCAACTACATGCCCAAGTTATTAAAGGAAGAATTTAAAAAAGATCACTAATTCACTAATTGCAAAATCAAATGACTTATAAAACATTCATGAATCATAAAAGTGAAAAAATGATAGTTCTGAGTGTACTCACCTTATTCTGTGTATCCCTAGATTTTTCAAATAGAACTCTTTTCTGTCTCCTTCTCCTCCTGGAACAGAGATTATTAAGACATTATACACCAACACTAGCATTATTTTGAGTATTCTGTACCCTTCCAGACCCTCAGAGTATATTCCAATTAAAGTGGCTGTCCACAACTGCCTTAGGCACACATCTAACATTCTAATGACCTCAACTTCTTTCATCTTCCCTAACTTCTCCATGTGCTCACAGACCGTAAGGACAACTATGTGACATCCAGCCAGTGTTCATTAGTAATTAATCTCAGTGATCTTGCTAAATAACAATTCATAGTTTGTTATAGAAATGGCTTGGCACCTTCTTCAACCTCAAACTTAGATATTTTTCATAATTCAGATATTTTTAAGTGATGACTGTGATTTCTTAGATGACGATGATAATATAGTTAAGCTTTACAAAATCTGCCAGTATTATCATCATCTATACAGATTATTTAGACTTCTTTGAATCTGTACTTAACAGGTTGGGAAACCGAGGCATGGAGAGGAAGAACAATTTGTGAATTGGCACGGTTCATTAGTGGCAGTGTTGGGAGTTGAGTCCACTGCCCTGCCCCGTCACTAATCAGGACTTTCTACATCTGGAATCACTTCGCTGAGGCCAAATGGCCATGTGGAACCACCCCATTCAATCAACTCTCCACAGCGCCAAGGAAACCTATGACGACTTAACTTTAGCAAGAATATTAAACAACACAAGAGAAGAGGAAGCGCGCTACTGTAACTGAATGTCAGAGATGAAATCACTGCGTCCGAGTTCTGTGTGTGAAAATAGTTATGGGGAGACAGTGACTATTTCTGTTTCACCTTCCTAAAGAAAAGATTATCATTAAACAACAGAGTAGATGGGCTAAATGCAAAAATGCCAGGTTCCTTTAAAGAGGAAGCTGCAATTCTTTTACAGAAATCTTGAAAACAAGGTAGTGTCTCTCTCTAAGGAACAGCTATTTGGGTGATGGATGTTGACATTGCCTGTCTCTTCTAGGCTCCCTGAAATCCTTTCAGCTGCCAACATCATCTCACCTATTCTGTGGGCATGTTTTTTTCATTTATTTATTACTTAAACAAATTATTTCTTAATTTACTTACTTATTCTATGTGTTAATTTAACAAATGTCTACCATTTTTCTCACCAAATTTCTTCCTACAAACGAAAGTGTCAGTCTGTAGCTTAAATTTTGGCTCCTTTCACACCTACCAGTACTGTACACCTCTCCCGGCCATGTTCATCTACTCATGTAGTTGTTCTTATCTTTACATGAAAACAACACAAAACAAGTACAGATAAACTGCTCCCGATGTTGCAGGACACTTATGCCACTAGGCTAGGCACAGAGGGTGAAGCAAGATAGTCAAGCCAGCCCGTCAAAAGCTGCAGGATTTTTTTAAATAGTCAGACATTGTTTGAGGGTCATTATTGAAGCCCTTGATAATTTTTCAGAACATTTCCATTCGAAGTAACAACCACAAATTGATACTAGCTACAAAGTAGAAAGAATAAGTGGTTTTTCCTTCATGATGTTGGTGCATGATTATACATTCAAGTCCACTAATCTTTCTATCATATTTAACCAAGTGGGACAATGTACTCTGCAGTTCAATTTAGGTATTCACATAAAAAATGATGCATTTTCATGAAGCAAAATCCATCATGTCCAACATCTGTGACCCTCCAGAGGTCTGCTCTGTCACTCACTCTCTCTTAGTCATGTTGCCCATGTCCCTGTGTGCTCTTCCTGCCATCTCTGCCCTCAGCACATTTTTTACGAACCAAGGTGAAGCAGCAGAGAAATTTTCAGCGACAATCACCCCTTGGCTGTTTACTTCAATTTTCTAATTTCTGGGCAGGGAAAGACTTGAGGGCAGCCTGTCATGGCAAGAAAGGTAAAACAACTGTCTTGTGTTTCAATTTAATTAGACAAATGCTTATTGAACATCCATTATTTGGACAGATTAGTGTTAAATGCTATCAAACACTTAAGAATGAATACAATAGAATCCCTGCCATTACAAATATTGTAGAAGGGAAGACAAGCATGAAAGTGAGTAAAATACAAATCAGGATGCGGGTAGCAGTAGATAGAAAAGTACAAGGTGAATTTAGAGAGTGACATCATGTCTATTTGCAGGGGCACAGAGAGAGGACAGACCTCTGAGAGGGGACAGGTGCTCTGCACACTGAATGATGCACAGGACTAAGGTCACATATGAGGGAACATACTTTGGTAGCATAACAAATGGGAAGAGATTTGGGTGTGCTGAGAGAATAAAAGTTGTGGTTTTAACAAAATTTGTCAACATTCATTGGAGTTAGATAGAAAATATGAATAAATATTGTGCTAGGTCAGAAAGTAGGGTAGCCTCAACAAACAGGTTAGTGAGTTTTAAGATGACTCTAGTCGCAGTGAGAAGATGAAATGTGTCCAACAGACAAATGACATGCTCAGTTAAGTTTTTAGAAGAGGACCCAGGAAAAGTCAGGAGATCTGAAAACAGGAGAGCAGACTGCTGAGTATCACTAAAGAGTGGTAATAAGAACCTTCACAGAGGTAGAGTGCAAAGATATGGAAATGAAATAGAAAAATGTGCTGAAAATCCTACTGAAAGATATGTGTGTGTGTGTGTGTGTTTATGTTCCTGGGAGAGAAAAGTGGAAATGAATATATTTATTTACTAAACAAATACATAATAGTGTCTATAATATACCATGTGAATAAAATATAAAAAATCAAAAGCATAGTCCCTCCCCCTGGTTAAAATAGCACTTCAGTTGGAACATGGTATAAGCAGTAATTCCAACCCAATGTGTTATAGCTAAGAAGTCCAACAAAAATAGACAAGTGGGCTGATGAACATAGGAAAGCTGGAGGAAGAGAGGGTCAACCAAGAATATACTAGAAATTTTGCAACTGTACCACAAGACAGAAAAAGGCAGGAAACTCTAGCAGAACCCAAGAGCTACCACCATCTATATGGAAGCCCCTTCCAATCCCTTCTTCATCAATAATACTTAATAATAGCACATAGATTGCTTATTTCTGAAGACCTATAAACACTTTAATTACATTGTTTGAATGTGAACATTACTGCATTTTATTGACCATTTTGTACAATGAATATTTGGTGAATGAATAAATTAAGGCACCGTCACTGACAAACCTTGTTCCCCTTCTCTGAACCTCTCTCTTCCTCCCTCATGCAAACACACACACACACATGCACACACACACCCCTCAGTGACAGCCACCTCAGACAGAGGTAGGAGAGAATGTAGAGGTATCAGAGGAAAGGGGCGAATGGTCAGCCCCTACTAACTTCCATGACTGCTCCAGATCTCCCCCTGTAAAATCACCAGTGCTACTTCTTCTTTGTGAAAGAAAAGTACTTTAAAGAGTATGCAAATGCTAAGATAGCTTGATAAGTTGTTGAGTTATGGATGGGGAACCTCTAACATTAGAATTACTTAGGGTAAACAACATTCAGAGGATGTTATCCGACTCACCTGTTGTAAGAAATGACAATGATGGTGGTAATTAGAATAACAAACAACAACACAACTGTCCCTCCAGCCACGAAATGGACATATGGGATATCACTTTTACCTAGGAGAAAAAAATATATATAGTAAGAATTAGGAATCTAACTAAATCTGGGGAAAAAGATAGGAAAATGAAGAAAGTTTATGTTAATAATTAGAGCATAATAATGAAAACCAAAGAGAACAATCAAAAGATAAGATAAACTAAAGGAAAAAGATGTTTTCTTTTAGAGTCTCCTGAATATTTGAATCCTTACAGACTTCTTTAGTTTCTTGATTGAGTTGGGTTTAACACTTTAAGATGAGTAAGAATACAAGGAGATTTCAAAAAGTTTGTTGAAAATGAAATTAAGAGATGTATATTTTATTGCAAACAATTTTGAAATCCATGCATACTGAGGGACTCCAAAAATTTCTTGGGAAATGTGTACTATGGAAAGAATATACATATATTTAAAAATGTTTTGCACCAAAATAAACATAACCTTTTAATTTTCTTTCCCATGTACTTTTTTAAGTACCTTCATAAAAAGGGCACATTTTCAATAGCTACAGCTTGATTCCACTAAGTCCCTCATCACAAATGCCAAATCTTCTGTAGAAAATAAAGCTATTTGGGGCTGGTGCTGTGGTGCAGTAGGTTAATCCTCTGCCTGCAGTGCCAGAATCCCCGGTTCTAGTCCTGGCTGCTCCTCTTCCAAACTAGTTCCCTACTAATGGACTGGGAAAGCAGTGGAAAATGGCCCAAGCACCCACGTGGGAGACCTGGAAGAAACTCCTGGCTCATGGCTAGGATGAGCTCAGCTCTGATCATTGGGCCATTTGGGGAATAAACCAGCAGATGGAAGACCTTTCTCTCTCTCTCTCTCTCTCTCCTTTTCACTGTCTCTAACTCTACCTCTTTAATAAATAAATAAATAAATAAAATCTTAAAAAAAAAAAAAAAACTATCAGCCGGCACCGCGGCTCAATAGGCTAATCCTGCGGCACCGGCACCCTGGGTTCTAGTCCCGGTCAGGGCACCAGATTCTGTCTTGGTTGCTCCTCTTCCAGTCCAGCTCTCTGCTGTGGCCCGGGAGTGCAGTGGAGGATGGCCCAAGTGCTTGGGCCCTGCACCCTCATGGGAGACCAGGAGAAGCACCTGGCTCCTGGCTTCGGATCAATGCAGTGCACTGGCCGCAGCGCACCAGCCGTGGCAGCCATTGTGGGGTGAACCAATGGAAAAAGAGATCTTTCTCTCTGTCTCTTTCTCTCTCACTGTCCATTCTGCCTGTCAAAAAAAATTTTTTTAAAAAACTATCAAAATAGCACAAAATGATAAATCAAGTATATTTATCATAAAAGCCTAGAACCCTGATGCTTATAAGGATAATTTTGCTTGATTTTACTCAATTTGAGTTAATGATAAAGAATAATCAGGAGAAACATGCCATTCCAATTCAGTGAACATGAGATTTATAATCAACGAGGAATGTGGAAATTTTATCCTGGGCCTTTCACCGTTGAACTGACTGACCTCCAGACAAATCCTCAGGCTTCCACGCACAGGTCTCTCTCTGCATCTCTCGAGTGTTGACAATGACACAGTTCCAATTACATCACAGACTGTGGTAAGAATCTGATGAGTCACTGTACACAAGAGCAATGAACCAGAGGACACAGCCTCCACAGCCCGAGCCCAGCGGGGACAGAGATCATTTTGCCTTTGCTACTTCCTCCAGCCAGCCCCCTGCACACTTCACCCTTCGCCCGCCCGCTGTGAGATGCATCCCAGGGAGAAGCAGTCCCATCAGTATCTGCTGCAGGAACACAGGGGACTGAATGGAGGCTGAGGGTTGTCTTTATGGCTCGCTCGCTCTCTCTCTCTCTTTCTCTCTCGGAAGAATTGTGCCAATCTCCCCTCACAAGGAGAGGAGAGACAACAACACAACTTGGGAAATGTGTACTGAAAGTGAAGCTTGGACATTTGTTCCATGATTTCCAGGCTGTCTGGAATCCCATTGCACCCTGAAAATCACATTTTCAGCCAATGTTCCCCACTTTTCCCTCAAGTTGTTCTTCTCCTTTCAAAATCTATATTTAGCTGCACTATTTTGGAAGAAAATACTTGTAAATTATGAAACTGATAAAGGATTAATATCCAGAATCCATGAAGAGCTCAAGAAATTCAACAACAGCAAAACAAAAAATCCAGTAAAAATGGGCAAAGGTCTTCAACATACATTTTTGAAAAGAGGAAATTCAAATTCAACAGACACATGAAATATTGTTCAGGATCACTAGCCATCAGGGAAATGCAAATCAAAACCACAAAGAGGTTTCACCTCACCCCAGTAAGAATGCCTCTCATATAGAAATCAACAAACAATAAATTCTGGTGAGGATGTGAGGGAAAAGGTTCCCTAATCCACTGTTGGTGGGAAGGTTAACTGGTGCAGTCACTGTAGAAGGCAATATGGAAATACCTCAGAAAGCTGAATATAGACCCACATATGACCCAGACATCTCACTCCTGGGAATTTATCCAAACAATATTAATTGCAGTTCAATTCACAATAGCCAAGATATATAATCAACCCAGATGTCCATTAACTGATGACTGGATAAAGAAATGATAGCATAAATACATTATGGAATACTACTCAGCAGTTAAAAAAATGAAATCCTATCTGTTGCAACAAAATAAATGCAACAGGAAACACTATACTTAGTGATATAAGCCAGTCCCAAAAAGACAGATACCATATGTTTTCTCTGATTTGTAGTAACTAAGAGGACCTAAAATGTAATGTAGTAGATTGAAATTGACATTTTGAGATTCGATGATCATTTACAGCCCTTGTCTCTGCTGTTGAAGAACAGTTTTTTCCTTCATACTATTTGTTGAACTCTTTACTTAGTGTAGGGTTAATATTATGAATATAAAGTAAATTGAACATACATCTCTGTAAAAATTAAGAGTGGGAATAGGAGAGGAGGGCCGGCGCCGTGGCTCACTAAGCTAATCCTCCGCCTGTGGTGCCAGCACACGGGGTTCTAGTTCCAGTTGGGGCACCGGATTCTGTCCCGGTTGCTCCTCTTCCAGTCCAGCTCTCTGCTGTGGCCCGGCAGTGCAGTGCAGGATGGCCCAAGTGCTTGGGCCCTGCACCCACATGGGATACCAGGAGAAGCACCTGGCTCCTGGCTTCAGATCAGCACGGTGCGCCGGCCTCAGCGGCCATTGTGGGGTGAACCAATGGGAAAAAGGAAGACCTTTCTCTCTGTCTCTCTCTCTCTCTCTCTCTGTCCACTCTGTCAAAAAAAAAAAAATAGGAGAGGAAGGAGAAAGAATGGTGGGAATGTGGGTGGGAAGGAGGGTAGAGTGGGAAATATTACTATATTCCTAAATCTGAATATATGAAATTTGTATACCTGAAATAATTTTTTTTAAAAAAAAAGAAGCACAAAGACAAAAAAAAGGAACTCAAAATGTGACCTACTCATTCTTTCAGAAACTTCATTGCAAAGGGAAACTGAGACAAATAATAAGTGTCACATTTATATTTGTTTCAGCTCAATTCCACATGTAAGTGAGATCATGTGGGATTTGTCTTCTGCGTCTGGCTTTTTCCCTTAGCATGATGTCTTCCAGGTTCACACATGCAGTCACACACCACAGGATTTCCTTCTCTTTCATGGCATAAAAATGTCCCATTGGGCTTATATTTCACATTTCCTTTATCCATTCTTCTGCTAATAGATACTTAGGTTGTTTCCATATCTTGATTCCTCCTTAAGATTTCATTTTCTCGAAGGAGATTTTCTATCCTGTCCAGTAAGGACTTCTGCAGCTCAACCATTCTAATTGTTCTTATCATAAATTTTTGAAATCCCTATCTTGCATTTCTTCCATCTCATCATCTTCATAATCTTGGCTTGGGGAGTCTTGTTCATTTGAGGGTGTCATAATGTCTTCCTTGTTCTTGTTTCCTCGGTTTCTGTGTTTGTTGTTTGGCATTGTGGAGATATTCTTTGGATTCTTCTTCCCTCACTGTGGTGTTTTTTCTTGTTATACTATGACTGTATTAAGTCTGTTTCCATAGCTTGACCACTGTGAACAAAGCTGGATGAACACAGGAGTGAAGATATGTTTTTAAGATATTAATTTCATTTCCTTTGTATATATATATATATCCAACAGAGGGATTGTTGGGTTATAAGGCAGCTCTATTTTCAATTTTTTATCAGCCTGCATTCTGTTTTCCACAACAGCTGCACTAACTTACCTTGCTACCAACAGTGTATAAGGGTTCCATTTTCTCCATATCCTCACCAATAATCATCTTTTTTCTTTATGGCTACATAAATTCTAACAGGTTAGAAGTGATGTCTGATTATGGTTTTGATTTGCATTTCCTTGTGACTACTGATGATGACCATCTTTTCATATATTTTTCAGCAAGTTTTAGTCTTCTTTTGAAAAATGTCTATTCAAGCCCATTGCCCATTTTAAAATCAGTCATTTGGTTTTTGGAATGAAATTCTGTCATTTATGATGGCATGGATATACCTGAAGGTTATTATTCTGAGTGAAATAAACCAGACATAGCAAAATAGATTCCCTATCTAAGTGAGATCATGGAGTATTTAAGCCAAATGCATAAAAGCAGAGAGCAGAATAGTGGTTGCCAGTGTTGGGGGGAGTAGAGAATGTAGAAAATGAAGAGATATTGGCCAAAGTGTTTCAACTTTTGGTGGTAAGATGAATAAGTTGTTGGCATCTAATGCACACATAGGTTAGGATGGATGTACTAACTTGACAAAATGTGGCAATCATTACACAATGTTTACGTATATCAAACCATCATGTTGTATACCTTTAATATACTCAGTCTATATCTGACAACTACATATTTTAAAACTTTTTATTTAAAATTAATTGCTTCTTTATACTTTTTTATGTTTTCTAAATGATGTGTTACTTTTGAATTAGGAAAAAACTAGTGAAGAAAAAAGTCTGCATTAAAATAGATTACTGGGGGCTGGTGCTATGGCATAGAAGGTTAAGCCTCCACTGGTGATGCA